TCTGGGGTAAAAAGACAAACAACATGTTTCAAAAGAATGTTGTGTGTTCCCCTGCAGTCCTAGGAGAAGGGGTGTTGGATGTCCTCTTCCTCTTCTCTTCCTCACTTCTGCTAGGTGAGAGAGTATTGGGTCTACAGGAGAAAGAGCTGCACCTGGGACCTCAGACAGCCGGAATGGCTCATTATTATCAGGTTGCCCAGAAAAGTTGTTCAGTCTCCATTCTTGCAGATCTTCGAGACCTCACTGGACAAAGCACTGAGCTACTTGGCCTGATCCTGTCACTGACCCTGCTTGAGCTGGGGTTGAACTAGAGACTTCCTGGGGTCCCTTCCAGCCTCAATTATCTTCTCACCCTATGAAAGGAGCTGTGTTTTGAAACTACGTAGAAGAGATTTCTGAAAGTAACAGAAACCTAGATGCTATGTTCACAAGCTTTTAATGAGAAACACAAGGTCTGGATCAGACCTGATTTTCACTGATACACATTCAGAGTAACATCACTGCAGTTAACTGATCTGGAGCATCCACTTGATACCTAGGTATTGTTTTGTCTTTATAACAAAGTATGTGACAAAGTGGATGTGCTAAAGAAGAGCAGCTATTCAATAACGTACAGCTTACTGATTAAGAGCTTAAAAGTACAGTTCAGGGTTCACTTGTAACTACAGACAGAATTTGGTTCTCTAAGTCTGGGAGCAAAACAGAGTTGCTGAGACTGGATTTGATTCCACCCTCGCACCACTGCCTCTGTCCACACACAAGCTGCTGTGTGAGTCTGGTCCTTGGTAGTAGTAGACAGCATCCTTCAATAACTCTTAAACTTCACTGTGGGTGACTGAGGACAAATGCAAAGTAAGAGTGTTCCCTAGGGTACCACCAACATCACTGCTGCAGTGGTGGAGATCTCTCATCCTGGAGACCCTCATTTGTCAACCTAAGAATCAGGCATGTCATCCTGATCGCATTACAGGAGGAAAGCTGGAGATTTCAACAGCCTTGTGTTTTAAGCAGGGTGGCATTGCAGTAAGACAAGGTACACGCTTCAGGGAAAAGCATATTATAATTTCGGTTCCTTCATTAGTTGGGTTCCCATTGAAAGAAACATGAGGGTTTGGCTCCTCATGGAAAGGAACA